CTTTTCATTATAAACTGACTGATTTATCAACTAGGTTGTGGCATTAGCTCATGCTTGATCTATACTTTGGAGGCAAAGTGTAGTATGTAAATGCCAGTCTATGTCAGATGCACGTATTTGCCTCTCTTCACACTTGCCCTTGTCAATGGCTGTGAGCATAAGCCTTGTTAGTATTTCTTACTTGCAGTTCTATCTTCCCTCCAGAAAGAAGAGCCAGCTATTATTTGACCTTTTGTTAACCTGATATCCCCTGGACCCTGCTGATCCATGGGGAAGAGACTCTGTCTTACCAAAATTTATATACCTTCAGCATAAGAATGAAATTTGTTTCTTAGTACTTTAAGTTTTTTGTTCCCACTTCTGAGATTGGCTTTTTGCGTTCAGGCGGTGGTTGCAGGAATCCAGCAGGCTCATGCAGAGCAATTGGCCAACATGAGAATCCAGGATCTGAAAGTCAGTCTCAAACCCCTACACTCAGTGAACAACCCCATTCTGCGCAAGAGGAAGTTACTTGGGTAACAGCTTCTTTCTTTTTTTTTTTTTTTTTTTGGTACAAAAGGTCTTTATTGGTGGGGGAGGGAGGCTGCAGAGCAGCACCAAGGAGGAGAGAAAGAGGAGATGTGAAGAGGAGAGTGAGGAGGAAAGAGAGCGGGGAGAAGAGAAGAGAGCGTAACAGCTTATTTCTTTAATTCATCATGGCTGGAATGGTTGAGTGCTGAGTTTTGAAAGCTCAGACAGGGTCTGCCCTTTTTCTGCCTCTTGATAGGATGGAGAGGCCAAATTCTTTAAATAGTATCAGGAATTTCAGTAGTATCAGAAGTTATTTTTCTGAAATTCTATTGCCTATGTTTAGAGTTAATATCTGTCTAGAGTTGAGTTGGAGGGGGGGAGGGAGCGTCTCACCTTGTTATTACCTCTCCCTTAAACTTTTAAAGCACCAAGCCAAAGGACAGTGTTTATATCCACGACCACGAGAATGGAGCCGAGGATTCAAATGTTGCTTTGGAAAAGCTCCGAGATGTGATTGCTCAGTGTATTCTCCCCCAGGCTGGTAAAGGTCACATCATTTACTATTGCTCTGTGTGTGTGTGTGTGTGTGTGTGTGTGTGTTTATTTGCACATGCAGATCTGCACATGACAGAAGGAGTAGTTTAATTTGGAGTTATCTGTATCATCTTTGTCTTATGAGAAAATAAACACATTATATAAATTAGTCTGTGCCCATTAAAGACATTTGCTAATCGGAACTCGTAAATGTGGTACATTCTATCTACCTTTCCTTTGTTTTTCTGTGAAATTTCTAGTTTAGACTTAATTGCCAGTATCTGGTGCAACATGATAATGGTTTTCTTAGTTTGATAAGGACACAGGATAAGGTATGGAAAATGGTAAATGGAAATTGTGGACAGGATCAGGATCAGGCTGCATGCTGTTAAAGTTATTTCCAGAGTCTTTTTAGGCCAAGACTTATACATATAAGGAGAACACTTTGCTGGTTCAAAAGTAGCTGCTACTACTTATATCATGGGCAGAATGACTTACATGGGTCCTTTGGAGTAAGAGCTTTATTTCAGTATGTTCTCTCTCCACTTAGCAGGATATGATTGCCTAGTCTCAGCAAATGAGTAAGATGTTTGATGTACTAGGCCAGAAAATTGTTGGGCTGACCTATTTTCTTAGTTTCCTTACTTTTGAAAAGACCTCATGTAGTGTACCTTTGATGGTTTCTAAAGTAAGAAATGAGCTTAGAAGAAAGATGATAGCCTACTCTCCCTCTTTTGGGTTTAGGTTGGCCAGGTACTCCTTTGCTCAGCAACAGGGTTTGCCACTGCCTATTTCCCATCCCCTAATGCTAAGACTCTAGTGTCATCAGAGGCTTTGTGAGGATGTTAGAGTCCAAAGACCAGAAGCAGTCTACATGTGATGTATGGATTAGTAGTAAAGCCAGTGTGTCTGGTGCAGTTTTGCACATTTGAACATCACTTGTCAACCCATTGGACATCATGTCCTTCCATCTCTGACACTGAAACCCCATGATGCTGCAGGAAAAAATGCAACTTCTTCTTCACCTTTACTAATAGGAGAAAATGAGGATGAGAAGCTGAATGAAGTAATGCAGGAAGCTTGGAAGTATAACCGGGAATGCAAACTCCTAAGAGATACTCTGCAAAGCTTCAGCTGGAATGGTAGGCATCTTAATCACTCCTTTCCCCAGGAATGCAGAGAATTGTTTACATTTAGAACATGTAGGATTTCTTTGGGGTCCAAGCTGGGGCTGGTTTCAAGTGAAGTAAGCCTGGCTGGAGAGTGAATAGAGTATTGTGAGATGGGGGTTAGCTCTACATTAAGTCCATAGGCATATATGGACATTTGGCCCTTTCACATGTTTTCCAGAGTTCAGGTGAATTATGTGTTGCAGATTTAACACTAGAAAGCCCCCATCACCTGCCATTTGGGTGGAGGAAAAAACAAAAACTCAAATCTCAGAACTCCTTCCAGTTACCTCCCATTAAGGAACATATGCCAAAGGGGAGAAAGAGGACAAAGTACCAGGGAGTCTACCCTGCTGATCTCCTTAATTTGGATAAGCTGTTTCACTAAAGAGTAGAAAGTTTGCCAAACCTGGTGTTGGTTAAGTTTAGGGTGACCAGATTTTAACATTTGTAAAGTGGGACAACATGGGGGGGGTGCGGGGCAGGGCAGGGCCTGACAACAATGCAAACTTTGATAAGCAGTTCTCGATAATCACTTCTCAACAATTATTTGTTATTATTACAGTTTAACATTATAAAATTAACAAAAATAATATAAAACTCATATTCTGGCGAAATAGCCACCTGGCAGCCAAAAACTGTATATTCCCTTCCTGTTCTTCTGCTGGTTCGTGCATTCTTTCCAAAAATCAGGACTTTCTTAAAAACGCCGCAGGACGCGGGACAAACTGTTCAAAAGCAGGACGTCTGGTCACCCTAGTTATGTTTCCCAAGCAAACAAATCAGTGGTGTATTTCCTGAACTGATTTTTATTGTCTTTTCAGTTTAGCAAACTATACACGAGACTTAAGCTCCAGGATGCTCAGGGAAGGGAGCAAACTCTAATTTCATTGCCTTGCTTGTATCTTGGACCTACCATAAGAAATCCAGAGGGCTAGCCTGGCCATTCCTAGGCTTGGAAGAGATTAGCTTCCCTGGGATTTTTTTAAATGTTGAAATATATCATCATTACAGCAAAATAATCACATAAGAAGTGTGGGGGCTCGGCGCCTGTGGCTCAAGTGGCTAAGGCACCAGCCACGTACACCCAAGGTGGCAGATTCAAATCCAGCGCGGGCCCGCCAAACAATGACGGCTGCAACCAAAAAATGGCCGGGTGTTGCGGCAGGCGCCTGTGCTCCCAGCTACTTGGGAGGC